AAATACTTACTGCAATGACTGCCACATTAGTCTCATTATAAAGAACAGTATAAGTCACCAACTATCCAAGAAGAGGTAGAGGACTCTGTCAGAAAGGAATAGGAAACCAAGAAGACTTTTCACTGACTTGAAAATTTTGTTCCAGGTAACCCTAAGAGTCAACGTGTTGGAAGAGAACAAGTATGGGATAGTCCATGTATAGTTATATCTCATGAATCAAGTACAAAGATTTGCCTCGATCATCCTACATGTGATCACCCTCCATCACTGAGAACTCTCTCAAAGTGAAAGGTCTCTGTATATGTTATACAGCTGTCCATCACTGTGAGAAATACCTGAGATAAGCAACTTATAAGAAAGAAAAGTTTATCTTGGCTCACAATTTCAGAGGTTTCACTCCATGATTGCTGAGCCTTGTCACTTTGGGACTGTGGCAGCACAGTACGTCATGGCAATAGCATATGACAGAGGAGGACTGTTCACTTCATAGAAGCCTGAATCAAGAAGAGAGAGGGAGGCAGCAGGGTTCCAATGTCTCCAACAAAGGCAAGTCCCCAATGGCCTAACTTCCTTTTATTATACTCTGCCTCCAAAAGGTTCCACCACCTCCCAACAGCACCATCAAAGGCTGGTGACCAAGTCTTTTACCCAGGGCCCTTGGAGGGACACTGTGGATTCAAACTATAGCACTTCACAACCTCTCATCACTCTATCATGTGAGCCTGGATTCTCAGAGGTTAAATCTTCTCTGCCATCACCAACGTGACTGCAAAAGAAACCCAAATTGTTGAGTACAGTGGGATTAAATGTCTATTAGCCCTCATGCATTCGATTCTTTTTCTCAGTACTCTTCAATTATGGGAAAATCTTAACCCTGTGGTTAAGGTTATTTTGGGAGCCAAGGACATTTCCTGCCAAAGACCAAGAGTGATATGTACCATTAGGATCCAACAGTTGAGTGCAGCTGTTTTCTGAGAATGTGTTTCCTACAAGATGAAAAAGCAAGCTGCCTCTCACAGAAACCATGGTGCAAAGAGGGCAAGAGGGTGATGGGTAGTTCAGGCAGCAAGCTGAGAAGCTAGAATCGCAGGTCCACTTAAGGCCATTCAGATGCCCTCGGAGCCTGAAGAGCCATGAAATCACTTTCCTTTAGTCAAGTGAACTCTACATGTTTCCACTCTTTAAGTCATCACCTCCAAGTTTAACTTCTCTCTCTCTCAGAAGACCAAAACTCTTTCCAACAAACAAGCTGAAATGTGTTTATTGTTGATTCAACGTACACTGGCACTCTGCTCTTAAGTCATGGGCATCTCACTTGGAGAAACAAGACATATCTTAATGAAAATACAGGAAATGAACAATGGGCCCAGCAAGGACTGAAGGAATTCCAAGGTAGGTAGTATTCTGAGATTGGGAAATTTATTTTCTTTTTAATAATAGATTTTGGAGAGAGTTGAGGATAATATTTCCCATATCCTTATAGTGAAGACAAATCTAAACTTTTTATACCCAACTCAAATTTCTCATGCTTTAATTTTTCTTTACAGGGCACTCCACAGGCATGGCAATCAGCTGATCACCAACCATCTCATAAACTTCACAAATTGCTAAGAATGAACTTTCCTTTAGAAAAAGACAGAAACACTCTTTTTAAATGTGCATTCCCTATCTTCTTCACTGTTTTTTTTTTTAATTCATCTTTGTATCCTTAGTCACTAAATGTGGATTTCTTTAATATTATGACCTCATTGTGCTCTAGACTGTTTGCATACTCTATTCTGGAATTCTCGAAACACTCTTAGAAAATTAGAATGATCAAAGATCTTACAGTTTTATGGTCCTTACTGTGTTCCTGGACACCAAAATGAGACCCATAAAGAAAACTGACTTTTTGAGACCATATCCCAACTTAATAAAATATCTGCCCATAATAGTAAAAATCAAACAGGAAAACTGACTTATATAGGTTTTCACTGCTTTATATGAATTGGTTGATAGGATGTTTTAGGATTATACACACACTCAGTGCTCAATCCCTGCAATATCATAACCAAGTTTAGCACAGTGATCAGATGTTCAAATATGAGTATCTGTTTCTGGAAGAATGTATTTCTTTTTGGGTCATCTAAGATCAGCACCCCTAACAATATACATTTTGGAGCTCTTTCATTAATAAGGAAGACCTTCTTTGGCTTACAATGTCAAACATAAATCCTCCTCTGTTCCTTTCTTTTTGAAGTGAACTGAGAAGGACAATATATTTGTCAAATTAAAGAAAAACATATTGCCCTGGGCTTTCTCTCCCTTTTGCTTTCTTCACTTCTCAGATGATGCCAAGATCCTTTGAGAGTGGACAAGAGATCCATGACTGGTACTGACCATTAGATCTACTAATCAAATTTAAAATGCCACTAGACTAGTCTAGTCATTTTATGCAAGTTCTATTATTAACTCACTGACTATATGACCCTTTTCAGTCCACCTAACCCTCAGGATTAATTGTCAAACAAGACTAGTACACACCCATCCTTCCGACAGTGCTCATTCTTTCTAAACCAAATACCTACATATATATGTAGAGCCCAAGTACCCCTATGGATAATGCAGTGCCTCTTTCCTTCTCCGTCTTTCATAACCGATGTTACCTTTATTTATTCAGGTATTAAAAAAAGAGTGCTTTAGTTTATTTTTTTACTGCAGTGATCAAAAGACCTGACAAGAACAATTTTAGAGGTGAAAACGTTTATTTGGGGGCTATGGTTTCAGAAGTCTCCATCCGTAAGAGGCCAGCTCCATTCCTCAGGGCTCGAGATGAGGCAGAACATCATGGCAGAAGGGTGTAGTGGAGGAGAGCAGCTGGGAACATGGCACCAGGAAACAAAGAGAGAGGTCTCAACAAGGACAAAATATAAAGCTCAAACATCCCCCTCCCCGCAATGATACACCTTCTCCAGCCACACCCTATCTGCCTACCATTACCAGTCAGTTAATCCCTATCAGTGGAACAACACACTGATTATGTTAAGGCTATTATAACCCAATCATTTCTCCTCTACACCCTTTCACCTTGATTCACACATGGCTTTTGGGGGACGCCTCACATCTAAATTATAATAGACAGAAAAATTTGGATTCATCTTAAAGAATCCCAAAAATCCATTCTGTCAACTTGACTATTTGTTACTTCTTCCATAATGTATTGTTAAGTATTGCTCCTCTTTACCCTTTTTCCCTATTTTAGACTTCTATCATGATTAATCTGTATTATTCCAGTGGTTTCCAGTTTGGTCTTTGGAGCTCCTTACGTCCCATGTTGAACAGCCAATTTATTCTCCACTGTTACCAAAACGACATTTCTAAAACTTAATCTGATTATATCATCATGTAGTTAATATCTACCATCTGCATTGCCTTTATAAAAATATTCACACTATTGTGCAATATTAAAACACCTTCCTATCCCTTTTTTATCATTGCTTATGCTAATTATTCTGCCTGGATCTTTAGCTTTGTTTCTTTTTTCGCTCTGCCTTTTCTTACCCCATACACTTATAGACTATTTTCCTAACATTCTTCATATGTCACAGTATTGCTATTGTACTTGCTAAAATAGGTATACTTTCTTCACATTCCCATAGTACTGTGTGTCAAGAATTATGACAAATGTTATCCTAACAAACTAACAAATTAGCCTACTACAGTTTTATGGGTACTGATAGAAGACATAAGACTTTTGAAAAAGATATGAGGGACAAGTTATTTCATATAGTATTGCAGAAGCTAGAGTATTAGCAGGTACTCCAGTTCTGAATTCCTACAGGCTAAATCACAGAGAATTAAAAGGCATCGTTAAACATAGTGGGTGTTGTCATTAGACAGGTATTCTGAGCTTAGGGAAGCCAATCTTTTATAATGGGCAGTAAGCCCACCCACCCTTTGCACAAGAAGAAGAAATCATCTGTACCTTTTAAGATTGATTGTTACACTAACATCTTTGAAAAGAAGTCCAAAACAAGGAACGATTAGCACCTCACTAAAAACATGTGCAGAAAATTAGAGATCCATGAAGAACTGTCTTCCAACACACTGAACATTATGCAATCACAGTTTTTGTAACACTGAGGGTTTTTTTTACCCTTATAACAGTCAATCTTCATCACTAGAATTTGAACTTCTTGACAGTAGAGACTGAGCCTTGTTATTCTACACATTGTATAGTGTGCAACATAGTTGGGATTTCAAATACATCATTTGAATAATCTCAGAATTTGATTAAGGAAAAAAATCTTAGATGCACATTATTTTGTGTACCCCTAAACAGAATTTGTAAAATTTCAATTAGATAAAAAAAATGTTTTCTACAAGGTTATAATGAATTATAAAAAGAAGCTATGACAAGTCTTGAACTTTTTTTTTTTCAAATGACTTTTTTCTTGTTTGAAAGTGAGGTAGTTGAATTCTAGTGTACATTTATTACTCAAAGCCTGATCTATGAATCTTTATTTTCTTGGATATCTTGGAACAATTCCTAATGGAAAACACACTCCAAAACCCTCTATTTTCATAAAAAAGATTTCTGACCAAACTGGTGGTTATTTATACTTCCATGGACTCCACTCAGTAAAGGGAATACACTTACAAACAAACCCCTACAAAAGAACACGAAGAAATATTTAGAGGTGATGCATGTTTATTACCTTGGTGTTAATAAACATGGTGTTGACATCATGAATTTTTTACAAATATGCAAACGTATCAAAATTTATATATGTTAAATAGGTGTACATTTATATATAAATTATATCTCAATGAAGTTTCGAGAATATTAAAAATATTTTTTTAAAACTCCCATTTAATTTCCATACAAAGCCTTCATCCCTCAGTTTTAGTTAGCTTTTCATCACTGTGATCAAAGACCTGACAAGAACAACTCAGAGGAGAAAAAGTTTATTTGGCTCACTGATTCAGAGATTTAGTCCATGGTCTACTGACTCCTTTGCTCTGGGCCCATGATGAGGCAGAACATCATGGCAGAAGGGCATGGCAGAGGAAAGTAGCTCAGGACATGAGAGCCAGGGGGCAAAGAGAGCAAGCTCCACTCACCAGGAACAAAATGTAAACCCCAAAGGCATGTGATCTACTTCCTCCAGCCCACACCCTACCTGACTATAGTTACCTCTCACTTAATCCATTCAAGTTGATTAATCCACCAATCAAGTTACAGTTCTCATAATCTAATCATTTCACCTTTGAACATTTTGCATTGTCTCTTTCAGAAAAACCTCATGTCCAGACCTTAACAACCTCTCTGGTCAAATCCTCCAGGTCTGATTTCTCCATCTCTTCCCTTACACAGCAGCCATAGTAGGAAGTGCTTTCTCCCCGGGGTCTAGATAAGGGTGGCACTGTCCTCCATCCATTGTCCTCTGTCCAATCTTATGAGGTGGAGCTACAATTTTCTGAAAGAAATGAAGGTGGTATCCTGGATGTGTAGAGAACTTGGGTGAGGGTAAAACGGTTTGGAGACTGATGCAAAACTAAAAATGATTTTATTTAGACATTCCAAGGGTGGCCTAGCTCAGAAACAGCTCTATCTGCAGGAAATACTGTTCTCAGTATGTCCCAAATGGTTAAAAGTGGCCTGTTCTTTCCTACTTGTTTTCAGTCCTTGGCCCATCCATGATTTAATAGGCAAGCTATGATATCTCAAGAACATCATTGTGACAGCACAAATATAATTCAAAGTGAAGAAGGAAATAAGGGGGGAAAGGGCTTACCTCTAATAGTCCTTTGCATTTCCATATCATTAAGACATATATGAGTTTTATTTTATTTTATTATCTTTTAATGGGAAAAATTTAAGCATTTATATTTATTGCCATAATTGATATCCTGAGGCTTTAGCACACTTTATAAGTTTTCTTGGCATTTCCTTAATATTTTTGTCTTTTGCTGGATTATGTTTTAGCTGCTTTTATTTTCTCCAGCTATTTGGAAAGTTATAAATTCATATTTTTAATTGTATTAACAGATGATTTTAAATAGTTTTGATGAAAAACAATGCATGCAAAAAAGGGTACTATAAATATCTCATATTTTCAGAAATAAAAAGCTACAAAAACAACATCAAAAACGGAAAATATCTTCTATTTCACAAGCAGCCTCCTTGTCCTCCATTTTAGTCTCTGGTGCTCCAAGGGTAGCTGGTCCCCTAATTTTTAAGAGCATACGTTAGTTTTGTACTTTATATAAATAGAATCACCCAGCATGTACTCCTTCATGACTGGTTTCCCTAGCTCAACATTATATTTATGAGCTATATCCATAGGGTCTTGGGAAGTCACAGTGTCTTGGGAAGTCACAGTGTCTCATTGCTGCCCAGTAGTACTAGGGGTGAATATGCCACTATGTATCTATGAGCTTGCAAAACAAACAAATCTAAGTAAATACAAGTGTCTACAAAAACGGAACACATGCACTTGCTTACCTGGGACAGATGCTGCCAGACACTGGAAAGAAGTCAGCTAAAATTGTTATTGAACCATTTGGGCCAAGCGATGGATCTCAAGAGAGTGGAGAATGCCTGAAGGTTCAGATAAGATAGAAATTTGCACCTGCTGACTGGCTCTTCTATATGCACCTCATTGGTGATCAAAAAGGATTGGGGAGAGTCCTGAAGGTGTGGCACCTTATATTGAAAGCCTGGAGGAAGAGATCAGCAACTGTTAACAGAAAATCATAAAACTCCACCCACATTTTCCTTGCCTACTCCTCTTCAAAATAAAAGCAGAGGGAAGGCCCACAAGCAAGTTTTACATGGGGGCAATTGTGAAAGCCTACTCCCCAGGGGGAAGAGAAAAGAAAACATTTGCAGAGAAACCCTTCTCTAGACAGGGCCAGGAATATGAACTAGGCTGAGAATTGCCCCCAGGAGAGGGGCAGGGACACTTAGAAGACCACAGTTCTGTGGCCTAAATAGTACCTGGATGAGGCAGAAGCTTAATTTGAAGAAAAGAGAATACACCTGCTCCCACCACAGGGCTAAGCATCACGTAAAAAGTAACAGCTACTAGAGGGACAAGATCAGGACCTCAGCCTCCATACCCCATGCAATTAAAGGTGTGTTTCTTTCAATAATAACTTACAAAACATAGCGAAAAATAGTAAGAACACCCAAGGGCACAAGCAAAACTACTGTCAAGACAACGCCATCAACAGAACCACATACACACATAACACATAGGTTGAAACTACCCTACAGGAATTCCAAAATTAACATGTTAAAGGTGGTAATGGAAGAATGAGCACCATGAAATATCAGATAGGTCATTTTAACAAATAAATATGAGCTAAAAGAAAAATAAAAATTTATCAGATGGAAATCTTAGAAATGAAGACATGGATGGTGGAGACGCCATCCATGGTCTCAACCGTAGACTGCTGGAGAAAGAAGCAATGGAGCTGAAAATAGGTTCGTAGAAATGGCCCAAATTGAAACAAAAGGAGAAGGAAATAGCAGGAGGAGATCAATGAAAGAACAGAGCCCACAAGACCAGGAGACACACAAAAGCTACAGTGGACTTTCAGAAGGTGAAGAGAGAGAAACAGACAGAAGAATACTTGGGAATATGAGGGCTGAGAATTTATCAAATAGGGAAGAAATAAAATTTTAAAACTGGATACCTCATATTCAAACCACTTGAAAACAAAGACAAAGAAAAATCTTGAGGTCACCAGACAAAAAGGCTGCCTTACCTATAGAGAAATAAAGATAAGAATCATAGTAAACTTCTCATCTGATATCATGCATACCAGAAGAAAATGAGATGCCATTTTAAACTATTGGAAGAAAAATATCTGTCAATTCAGAATCCTATAGTCGACACAAGTACAAAAAAAAATGGTCTTTAAGAAGCAAATGAAAAAAAATATATTTTATCAAACAAAGAGAAACTAAGAGAACTCACTGTCAGAAGACCTCTACTACAAAAAAAAATGTAGTTATTAAACATTTAAAAGCAGAAAGAATTTGATACCAGATAGACCATACGAAATCTGAATTATAGAAAATGACACAGAGCTGGGCAAGATAGCATATGCCTATAATACCAGCAGCTCGAGAGGCTGAGGAAGGAGAATAGCAAGTTCAAAGACAGCCTCAGCAATATAGTGAGGCCCTAAGCAACTCAGCAAGACCCTGTCTCTAAATAAAATATTTAAAAGGGGGCTGGGGATGTGGCTCAGTGATTAAGTACCCCTGGGCTCAATCCCCAGTACTGAGAGAGAAGTTGGGAGACTAGATGACATGATATGGAAAAAGATGGAGACTGCATTAATAAAGATAACATAAAATTTCTTTTATTCTTATTTGTATTAACTTTAAAAGACAACTGTCTACAGCAAATATAGTTGCAATGCATGGTATTTATAGCATATGTAAGGGTAAAATGTACAATAAAAGTAATACAGAGAGAATAAAAGAGAAATTGGGAATAACATTTATATCAATAAGCAGTGTCTGCTCTATTTACCAAAAATCTTTCACTCCATACTTCTCATCTAGATGGGACTCCTAGGTGCATTGGATGTGGAAAGAAGGCAGGGAGACTTGCTGACCCCTTTAGTACCCAGAGATGACAAGGTGAAACCCTGATTAACTCTGACAAGTGAAGAGACACAGAGACCCCTTTAGAACAAGTTTCAGCAGAAAGGAAGACCAGTTATTCTCATGTATTCCTGCCATATACTTTTCTTTAGAACCTGGCAGATTTTTCAGACACTTGAAGAAAGAACCTATTCAAACCTTCTCTCCCGGTTCTAATTCACTTTCTATTCTATCCTATTCTATTCTATTCCATTCTATTCCCGTTCTTGGGACAAAAGGCTTCTTTCTGTGGCAATGGAAGTCTCCAGGCCACACTGACAGGGAAGAAGCAGTTCCCCTGTAGCACACACCCCTTTCTTGGGCTCTCTCCTACCATTCCAAAGGAGCCCACTTAGAAGCAAATTTACAACCCAAGCTCAAAAATCCAATCTCTCCGGCAAGAAAAAGCTGGATTTTATAATAACTCAGGAAGGTAGAATTGGAGAAAGGAATCACTACACTTTTGATGGTGTGTCAAATCTGCAACGGCTGAGCGAACTCCAGAAGCTGCCCAGTGCTGCCCAGCTCTCTGGCTTTGCGCTGAGCTAAAGAGGTTGGCAGGTGGTGATGGAGACAGGGCAGGCCTGGCGCAGGCAGCTGCTGACAGGAGCAGGGGGCAGGCTGGGGATCTGACACAGACCCAGCCCCACCTCCCTGCTGCCTGCACCATTCTATCATGATCCAATAACGGGTGAACCTGGCAGAGCCGCCATTTGTAAGCAACAAGCAGCGACCTGTGTAAGATCTGAGCCGGAAACACACACAGCAAGTCCCAACTCTCTAACCTTGGACATGCAGCTCAATAATTAGAAGCCCCCAAGCCAAAGAAGAACCCCAATACATGGGCTAATGCTTCTGTTCATGCAAACTTAATCATTTGTTAGGGCCAATGTTTTTCTCCACCACAAAATTTTCTCTGATCATGTCCTAAAAGGACTTTGTCTGATGCTTAGATATGATGTTTCACCTAACAAACAAAGATAGAAATATCTGCTACTGGAAAAACAAAAGGGAAATAAGGCATTCACAATAAGACTTGGTGGGTATTCTCTGAAGGCCAGGTCAGTGGTGTGTATCAAATGGAGACTGGACACACCCTTGGTCTTGGAACTCCACTTCTAAAAATTTTAACCATGGGGACATGTGTGTACAAGGGTGTCCATGGAAAGCCATTCATACAGGGTGAATCTGAAGACAGATTTCCTAGTTCTGGTTCAAAGCTCCAAAGCATTCTGACTTTTACTTTTTATATCTGCAAAATGGTTACACACAGGGTTGTTGTGTAGATCGGGGAATAAAATGCATGTAACCAACTTGGCAAATAATGAAATCCAGTAACTTTCTATTTTCCTTATTTTACTACATAATTTTATTACTTACATAACCATCAGTAGTATTTGATTAGATATAATAAATACTTGCAATAGGATATTGTACAAGCTTTTAAAAGAATAAAAGCTCTTGAAACATATTGCATCAAAACAAAAAAATCAGATTTTAGAAGAGCCTGTGTAGATATGTGTCTACCACTATGTGTGTGAGTCTTGTGCATAAGTCTATGATATGTACATGTTTTCTGTGTTTGCAGTGTGTGCATGTGTGTGAGCGCCATGTGGAAGCCTTCATATGTGCATCTGTCTGTGGTGTGTGTATGTGTGAGGCATGTGTGTACCTCTGCAGCATATGTGTGAGTTCTACAGGTATAGGTGGGGTATGCATGTGAGTTGAGTGCATGTGTGGTATGCATGTGAATTCAGTGTGTCTCTGGGTGTGTGTGCCTTTGAATGTAGCCAGTATTAGAAGATGAATAAGAACTTGGGCTCTGAATGAAAGGAGGCTGAGTTTTCTTCCTGGCTGGTCAGAGTGTTTCACCCTGAAAAAGTTACTTAACTCCTCTAATTCCAGTTTTTTAATTATTATTATTTATTAAAAACCACCACAATTCCTTCCTAATGGACATGTGAAAATCAGGTGACCAAATGTATAGGAAGCCTAGTCCTAGGTCTGGCACATAGTAAGTATCCAAGAAAGTTTAGCAGACATTCATCATTATCATGTTTAGAGAGAGGTGTTGGAAAGGATATTATCTGACCCTTAACCCAGGAGTAAAAATCATTTGTAATTTTCTCTATTGCTTGATATTTTGCATGCATATATATCGTCTCTGTAAATCAAATATTCAGTGTGTGTCCTTTGCAAAAAAGCCTGACACTGGCATCCCCAGTACAAACACCCCTCATCTCCCACTCCAGTGCCAAGTGGTATATCTTTCAGAATTCACCTCCCTCTTCTCCTCTGACTTCCCATCCTCCTTGTAGCAGTCTGGATTAAAAAATGAGACTGTGATGTTATGTCCAGAAAGCCCTGCTTTAAATTCCCATGATACCTGGGATTGGTCAGTTATTGGTGCAACTTTCTGTCTTAATCCCACTAGAATTGATTTCTTCAATCAGATTAACTTGTTACTTTGCACCGTGTGGGGGTAAAGGGCAGCGGTGTCACTTGCTGTCAGAGCATGAGGAGGGGGAGCCCAGAGTGATGCAGATGAGTCCACAGCTGGAAAGGGACTTCAGAGGACTGAGATGACACCACAGGCTAGAGTTTGGTGGAGGACTGGAAGCTCAGCATGAGTGGGGAGTCCATGGTCAAAGCAGACTAAAGGAAACACACACACACACACACACACACACACACTTTCTGTACGATTTGGCTCAGGTCAGGTTTTCCCAAAAGTGCAGTGTTCCCATTCTTCATGTTTGCCAGAATCACCTTGGAAGCTTGTTGAAAACACAAGTTCCAGGTAAGATATCCTTGTGCCCTAAGAGATTCTGATAAAGAGGTGAGGGGTTCAGGAGGTGGACATGGGCTTCTCTGGTGAGAAATGGATTAATCGCTGTGAAGCAATGTGAAAAGTCCTTAGGGTCCAAATCCCACTGTGAAAGGCCAGGTGATCTGCTGCTTTCGTAGCTGTGTGACTTCAGTTTAATTACTCAACTTCTCTGGGCTCTTCATGCCAGAGAGATAAGGGCGATGAGCCAGAACAAAATGATGATGAAGCTATTAAGATCCGACATTTTATGAGTGAAGAGAGAAGCTTGTTCGTCTGAAGCCAATGCACCACTCTCCCTTTCTCTGAAAGGGGACCCCGTGAGGGTGATTTTTGACCCTAGGTCGAGCAAGGCGCTTCCCCTGCCTCAGAAGCTTCATCAGACACTCCAGATCCTGCAGCGCAGGCAGCCTGCGAGTGTGCTCCACTGCCCCCTGGTGGTCCCACTCGGGAAGGCGAGCAGAGTCTCCGCCGGTATTCAGCTTCATTCAGGACCCAGAGCAAAGCCACAGTCAGCCGCCAGGCCAGGGGCAGAGACGGCCAGCCACCTGGAGGGTTTCTGGGGCTGGGGACCTCAGAATGAAGGAAATGGCTGTCCTCCTGACCACCGCCTGCCTGCTGGTGCTCGCGCTTCTCGTGGGGAGAGGTAGCTGCTGCAGCTCAAGGGTCTCCAAACCCTTTCTGGACTGGGAGAAGGGGGAAGGGGACATACCTGTTGCTTTTGGAGCTCAGAGAGAAGTTTGATTCATGAGACAATCATACATGGACGTGAGGTCCTGCAGAAATAAGCACTAAAAGGATTACAGGACCAGGGATCACCTGTGCCCTCTTATATCATTCAGCTTCAGCCTAGATGAAGGATCCAAAGGCTGAAGGTGGTTCCAGCAAATGTCTAACTCCAGAGAGGCTCTGCCATCTGCAGGGCTGCACTAGCCAAAGATGGACAATCAAATCCAACAACAGTCTCGTCCTTCCCCAACCCAGACTCCCAGTTCCACAAGGCTGACCCTTCTAACCTTCACTTGCAAGCCTCAGGCTGCACCCCCACCAGAGGCCATGCCCACCACCAAGCCCTTCCCCCTTCTCCCTGCAATGAAACACCATACCCTGTCCCCCAAACACACTCCTGGGAGAATCACCTTTGGGCAGGGGCATCCCAACTTACACATTCTCAAGGCAAAGCCCATCCTTGGTCATCTGATTTCATTTCTGGTGAAAGCCAGGAGGATTTGAGGCTGATATAGGGAAAGGGCTACCAAGGGCAGAGCACCATCCCCTAACCAGAAGCACCTTGTCCAGACATAAGCCAGCCACAGGAAGCAGGTATTTGGGGATGTCCACTGTGGCACCGTGTCCCTGTGTTCTAGCACAGGCACTGTGGATTGAAGGTCACCTATCCGGGGTATCAGCAAGGACAGAAGGCAGAGCTGGGCTCCCAGACCTCCTCACCTGGCAGTCAGCCTCAGACAGCATCAGGAGGGAAAGAGAGATTGTGGCTTCTGAGCCATCCTCTCGCACTTGGGGAGATGAACTAGATGTCTGCTCAGAAAGCTGCTCAGGCATTGGAGCCCCTGTGCTTTCCGACAGCAGGCTACCTGGAGGGGTGCATTAGGAGCTCGCCTTCTTCAGCGAGAAGCTGTGTAGGGCGCCCACTGCAGTCGTAAAGCTCCCTACGAAGATGAAGCTCGTCTGCGTCATCACCGGCACCCTTGTGCCAAAAGCAATCTCCCTGGGTTGCAGTTGCCTTCCTTGTTTTGCTCTGAAACTCTCTGAACACCCACCAACCACAGACCACTTCCTCTGCTCCTTCTATTTCCCCCCCCCCCCCACTCTAGAAAACAAACCCCATGTCTGTTTCAATTTAAATAGAGACAGCAAAAACTATAAACATGAAAATGAACACATTGTACGTGTAAAATGAACCAGTCTCCGTAAATTGTCTGTACCATAAGCGAGCCCATTTAACTCTTACAGAAGCCCAGAGGAGTCAGGGAGGCACCCAGTGTTAGAGACCAAAAGGGACAAAGACTCAGAGAGGCCGAAATAGGAAGCAGCAGAAGCTAGATCTGAGTCACCATTCCTGACCTAAGTTCTCCCTACTCAACAGACAGGTCCTGGTCTTCTCATGGTGTGATTCCCAGTGGGGTTTCTTTGCCTCCCTAGAGAACCTGATGCTATTTCCCCTCTGCTCTTTCACTCTGGAGGAAGGGTGTATAAACAGGCCCAAATGAGACCTTATTACTAGATGCTGGTGACCCAGGGAACAAGGAGTGGCCACCTCGGCTTGTTCAGATGGCCTGTTCTGTACCCAACTCCTGATGCTTCCAATACCCCAGCCTCCCTCTTCCCTACACCCCAGGCCTACATGTGCACTGCACAGGACATTGCAGTGTCTATCCTCACAGGGATTAAGGTTAAGCCCTAATAACTCTGTTTCTCTCCTTCCCTCTAAATCCTGCTCCAAGATACTGCTCCAGTGGCAACATCCTGATCAAGCTGACGGATCCCAGAAATAGTTCCCCGAGTTGACTTTGAGCATGCCAGGCCCCTCACTACCCCCTGCCTCTCCTCCTGTGCTGGTCCTTCCAACCTGCAAACTTTCCAGGACCCAGGGCTCAGTCCCTTCTCTCTTCTCTGTCTACACTTACTCTCTCAGGATGTCATCCAGCCAAGGGGGCCTCTCATATCATGTGCATTGCCCCCAAACTGCTACTCTAACTACACATGATATCTCCACTTGGTGTCAAATAAGCACATCAAAGGTGACATAGATAAAACCAAACTCTTCATTTTTCCCCACACTGGGTACCTACTGGCACCTCAACAGAGGCAACTCTGTCTGCTAGCTGCTCAGACTGCAGTCATGCTTGACTCCGTTTCTTTCATGCCATCCATCCAACCTTCTAGTAAATCCTGTCCGTTCCACAGTCGACATGTACCTAAAATCCAGGTGCTCCTCCCACCTCTACTGATCCTTTTTCTCCAGCCTGGATTGATGCAATCACAGCCTGGCTGGTCTGCTTGCTCCTGTCCTTGCAAACGACAGCAGCTTGGCAACCCCACTGAAACCTCAGTGAGACTGTACTAAGTCCCTCACTCCTGGCCCATAAGCTCAGAGGCACCTCAGCCCCTTACAGGGACAGCCAGCACCCCAGGTGACGACCTTCATGAAGTTGGCCATGCATGCACCCCAGCCTGTGGAGGGTCCTGTGGTTTCTGTCTGCCTGGGGTCATTAGTGATAGCACTCCTTCTATTAGCAAAGTCCCACAACCATGCTGCACACCCCATCCACATGCACGGCCTGATGGGGTCCTCGTCCTTCTGGCCCTCCATCCTTCTTCTCTCCCATCTTTCACACATTGTACCCCATCACCAGCCATGACCTCTGTCCCTACCTGAAACTCTCTCCCCACAGAGAGCATGCGTCCCCTTGCTCATTTCCTTCAAATGCACAATGTCACCTTATCTGCTTACTCCCCCGTGTCCCCTCAGGACAACATCCAGTCACTCTCCACCAGGACCCTGATGATCCTTCCTCACAGCAGCCATCCCACTTGGTGGCTGTACCTTCCTTGCGTTACTCTCCTCCATGGGACACAAGGTTTCTGACCCCAAGGTCTTTGTCTTGCTGCTCACGGCTCCAACTCCAGGGCCTAGGACAGCCCCTCACACGTAGGCCATGCTCCATGATTATTTGTCAGAAGAATGAATGACTGGCCAGGTTTAAAAGAATCACGGGCTGGGGATGTGGCTCAAGTGGTAGCACGCTCGCCTGGGCATGCGTGCGGCCAGGGTTCGATCCTCAGCACCACATACAAACAAAGATGTTGTGTCCACCGAAAATAAATATTAAATATTTATTAAAATAAATATTAAAAAATAAATATAAACTCTCTCTCTCTCTCTCTCTCTCTCTCTCTCTCTCTCTCTCTCTCTCTCTAAGAATCACAAAACGTGAGGCTTTCCTTTTCCTACAAACCGTGAAAACCCGTTACATCCAATTCCAATGCACACACAGGGCAACTTGGATCAATGGAAACTAGATAAACGTTAGGAATCTTTGTCAGTAACTCACATGCTGGTCACTCGTCAGAGGTTTGGTGTATGTGATTTCAACTACACCACTTCACCAAGTCTTCCCCAGAGCCTTACTTTCTTTATTTCCAGAATACAACACTGTCTAAAACTCCATGCCTTAGGTCCCAGAAAAGGTGCAAAGCCAAAAACCTGAATCATCAGAGAACAAGTATCTTGCTGCCTTTCTGCCCTCCCAGGGACATCCAGTCCCACCCATCATCTCAAATACTAACCCACCTCATGCCTGCGCTTGAATTTCTGGGGCTCGGACAGACACATGGACAAGGAAGTACTGTCCTATACAGTGCTATCCTCCTAGAGGCCACTGACCTTGAAATACTAAGAGACAACTACCTTATTTGCCAGCCCATTTCTGCACATTGGCTGCTCAATGACCAACTAGTGACCTCCAGTTGTAGAAATGGAAACAGGAAAATCAGAAGAAATGCATTTGGGGGACCAGGGAACACAAAGTGCCCTTCATGGGATCACTGAGAGGCTGCATGGGAATAGAAGCAGGCTTTTGACTGCCCCCTGGTCCACAGCTTGACTCCCTTGGACTGGAGGCTTCTTCTACTGTGAGCAACACTCGTGTGGATACCAGAAGCAGCTCACAGAATCAGGTGGGAATTTGGAAGATCAGCCCAGGATTTGGAAGCCAGGATTCATTTCTTTGATTTCCTTGAAAAGGGAGCCCCGTTCTCATGGTAGCCCATATTCTTAGCAGTCATCAGCCCCATCCAGTGCCTTGACTATGCCTTGACAAAATAAATATGTGCTGAGCAAACAAAGATGCCAACACATGAATGAATGAAGCACACACACGCACAAATACGCACATGCATGCACACACACACAAATACGCACATGCACGCGCACACACACACACACACATTTAATCAGCTATATCTTATACCCTCGGAACCTAAACTTTATCTTGGATTACTATCTGCCAATTCATCTTTTTAGAGATTTGGGGGCAAGGCTGGCTCTGTATAGTATCATGTTATGGAAAGAATTCTGAGGCCAGGATTCTGTTAAAAAATTATTTCTCACCAGGGCCCCTCACCCTCGGTCACCAGCACACTCTGTCTCCAAGCTCTGGTTCACAGCATTACACATACACTGAGTTTGTAATCAGAATCTAGCAAAATCTATTTTAAATACATGGGGACTACAGTACATATGAATATGCTAATCAACTAAGCTTAATAGTCCTCGTTTGTATTAATGCAAATTAGGCAGCTGCATTTCCCACCAAATATTTTCCTTGGTATTTACTGACGAAATCAAGGTCCTTCTAATAAGTTCTAATATTTAATCTAAAAGCTCTAAAGAAGGTGCTTTAGTTGAGTATAATCTAATTTCGCTGAACAAAATTGCATCTAAAAGCAATATAAAGTTACAATTTGTTCCTTGTCAAATAGTAAAAATGGCCTTTAAATTTTACATGGTTTTGACCTTTGGTTTTTGCATTTCAATTAAACTTCCCTCAGAGCCCAGAGGATCAAATGTTCCCTGAGTGTGAATTAGGTTCTAGTGAGAAAGGTGGCTACCAGCTCTCTGTTTCTTTCCTTTTCAAACTGATGTCTGTCCCCCATTTGACACAGAGCAGAAATGTTCTCCCTCAATGCCTGGAATAGAGGTAAACAGAAACAATGCACCAGACCAATATCTTATCTTCAGACACTTGAAATTTCTAGTGGTCGGTCTTCACAATTCATTCCTGGCAGACCATTCTGCCAGGCTCCCTGCAACTGGTCTGAGGATGACCCAACCTCCCCTCCTACTCATTTTAGAGCAAGAATTCTACCTTTGCAACACCCACTGGCATCTTTCACTTCACTCATATTTCATAAAAACCCAGGGACCCAGAGGTGAGGTCATCTTTGAATTCTGACAGAATCATATGCTCAGGTTTGAGAGGCTGTGACACCACCCGATATCCACTTTCCCCTTCTTTCTTGGTAACGAAGTTACATTTTACTTGGGGTTAATGCTGCCCTTCACTAAATACTATGTCCACCTGTCCCTTTTCAAATAATGAAATGAAAAGGTTGTAGAACCACCATCCTATCTCTGGCTAATACCTCCAGGCATCCTTAGGAAGAAATCAAATGTGTTTTTCTGTTGCATGCCTCTGGATCTAATCTTAACTATTGCAAGATTCAAGTATGTACCACAGTTACTGGCACAGAGGTGCAAAATACATTATAGCAATTAGTCAAGCATCAGATGGAAGATTGTTCCAGACGATGCATCATGAAAACCAACAAAGGAGAGAGAGAGAGAGAGAGAGAGAGAGAGAGAGAGAGAGAGAGAAGAGGGAGGGAAGGGGGGGGAGGGGAGGGGAGGGGAGGAATGGAAGAAAGGGGGAGCAGAAAACATTTTAATACAGGTAGAGCATATATTGAAGATTATATGTTTCACCATCCTAGTAGATTTTGTGTTGCTATAACTAAATATCTGAGACTTGGTACTTTGTAAAGAAAAATGTTTATTTAGTTCATAATTTTGGAATCTAAGAAATCCAACCTCAGG